CTGGTGTTCCTATTTGGTTCTATAGTTCCAACACTTCGCTGGCAATGCAGAGCTAGAGCGGTGCATGGTCCTGTGACATAGTGTAGTCGTCACACGCGACGGCTCGCGCAACAGTTACGACAATAGCACATGCAAAGTTGCCGATGAATCTTAGGAGGCATTCAATCTCTTGCGCTGCCGGTTCGATTTTGAATACTGCCCCTATCTGCCGGTTGCCGCCCTGTGTCAAATGTTTTTTTTGACGTAAAGGTCGAAGTAAGTAGCACGAATGTCCCTTAATTATACTACAAGGGCACCACGCAATTCCATTCTAAGTATTAGGCAGGTAGGCAGGTAGGCAGGCAGGTAGGCAGGTAGGTAAGCAGGTAGGTAGGTCGGAGGGAGGTAGGGAGGGAGGGAGGGAGGGAGGGAGGCAGGGCAGGTAGTGTACAGCTGTCCGCCTTGGCCCGATGTCACCGGGCTTGCAGGCAACGAGGGCACGTCGGACTACGCGAAAAACCTACAGAGCTCTCTGAGTGGAGCAAAGAAGCCCTGAGCAAAGTGCCTGCGAGGCTTTCTCGGACGGCGATCACAGAAGAAATGAAGTTGAGTGCAGTGCTCATGCAGGGCTCTGAAGTAGATTGTGCCGGGGTGAAACATCTGAGGTATATAGCTCCAATCGTCAAGGGTCCGTTCTTTCATGCCGAAACCCTACATGCCTGGAGCCCCAAGCCCATCCAGCGTCCAAGTATTCGGGTTCAGCCCTAACCCAGGAATGAGCAGCTTGGGAGCTGAGATACAGTAGAGGTCAAAATGGGGGGGCAAAGTAACTACGGCTGATGATATAAATCCTGCATTACCCATAATAAGGAATATGTGTGTATATATATATATACACCATAATTCCCATAGCTTAGGGTCCTTAAGGTAATGCAGGATTTATATCATCAACAGTACCAAGACTGTTCCTCAGCAAACCCTGTTCCAACAAGTAAAGCCCTACTATTAGATGGGTTGATTCAGGGTTTAGGGTGCGCAGCGCTCATGGACTTCATGGGGCTCATAGGGTTTAGGTCAGGTAGTGGAGCATCTATGCATTCAGTCAAGACAGAGATGCAATAGTGGAGGAACCCATGGAGTTGTTTGGGCTTTGCAGATCCCTGTAATTTGAGAGTTCCGACATCGCTCTTTGCCCGCAGCCTCTCGGCTTAGGCCCTCCAGGGCTCAATGGGTCCCAGTTGAGGTTTAAGGTGACTTTTGGACGAACAAGTCTGTGAGGAGGGTGCCATGTAGTACTCCCGATACCCCTATGGACGGTGAATGGTCACTTGCGATTGCTTCCATACAACTACTATATTCAGCCTGACTGCCATTGCTTTCCCGGGTACTGTTATTACTCTTGAGACCTCTTAGGATATTTTGGTGCTGCTTGACTTTACATGATGGAGCAAGAGACGCAAATGGCTGTTGCGATACAGCCTCGAAGACTGCGTTGGTTTGGCAGTCTGGGTGATGCAATGCGGATCTTGGCGAAGGATTTGCTTGGAACCGTCAAACTTCTCGGACAGGTGCCGGAGCCTCTTCAGGAGGGACTGGCGTGGGTGGCTTGCGCAGGGTCGGTAAAGGCCGTCGGAACTACTGCGGCAGCCACACCTCACCTAGCCCTTAGCATGGCAACTCTCAGTTTCGATCCGGTGGCCTGGGGAGCTTTAGGCATCATGCTGGCCAGCTCGGCCATTATCGCCCAAAGGGCAGAGAAGTATGAGCAGGAAGATCGCCAGGTGGCGAGGTCTGCTTCGAATGTGCTTCTGACCTCCGGTGTTGCACAGCTCTGTGTTTGTGTAGTGGAAGCCGGCTATCAGATGCAGCCGCTTGCACTGTCGCTGCATATCTCCTCACCGTTCTTAGCGGCACGATTCCTGCAAGATCTTCTCATCCTCCCGATGTGGCACCATGGCAAGAGTTCAACAGTTTTTGAGCCCCGCAAGCAAGCCCTTCGCCAAACAGATGTACGTGTACACGTATGCATATACGTATGGGTGGATGCATGGATCGATGGACGCTTGATATAAGTTGTTTACTTGCTTGGCTGGTGGCTTATGCAATCATGCTTTGGCAACCCTGAAGCCCTAAACAAAACAGTCACCCCAAATCCCAAGCCCTAGTAAAGCCCCAACAGCAGAGGCTTCGAGGCATTGGCGCAGCCTCCTTGCAGCCCACAGTCGCAGATAGAGCATCCAAATTATCGGCGCTTGGCGTGATCTGCCAGGTAGCCCGGGCCAGATTTAAACGTGAGAATTCATGATGGGTTACGGCTTAGGGACATACGGTTTGGGGCTGCACTCCGAGCAACGGAGCATGGTAATTGTAGGGGCTTGGGCTTAGATTCAGGGTGCTTGGGGCGTAGCGTCTATACCTCCGGCACTAGTCACTAGTCGAGCCAGAGTGCCAGCTTTATAGGCGGCTTGATCACCATCATCATCATGAGTTATCATCATCTTCAGCAGCATTCTCATGATAGCAGCCTCGATGCCAGCAGCATTGGTTCTGTTCACATCTAGCATCGGCCATACTTATGTTGATGATCAACAACAGCGCCCTGATTGCCTTTGCAACCACGATCATGGTTAAACTGTTAAACCCTAACCCCTAAACCCTAAACCTGCAGTACTCCTTAGCTGTTTAGTTCCATCCTTGAATCCTTTTGGTTTTGGGGTCTGGTTTTTCGGCTCA